TCTAATAGTCGGTATAAACTTTAATCTAGTATATACTTCCTATAAGGTAATATTTAAATTCCTTAAAATAGTTAATAATAACTAGGAATTCTTTATTATAAATAGAATAGTTAAGTTTTGCTCTATATAGCTTATATAAATAAAAAGCAATAAGGTATAATTTATTTTAGTTATCGCATTATCTAATCTATTCTCTAAGTGCGAAGTCTAATAAGTCCGTCTCTAGTTTAATTTCTTTATTAGGGTTAAATATAATAAGTATAAATTTGCTAAGGATAGCTTATTATAGTTATTTAAATGCTTTTTATACTATTATATTTTATTAGAAAGTCTTATCCTTCTTAGTAAGTTTAGTAAGTAAGTTAGCGGTTTTACTAAAATCTCTAATAAATTATTAGTAATAATTAGTAAATCCTAGGAAGCTTTATATTTCTTTAATAGTTCCAGGTATTAGCTATTTTAATATTACTAAGATTTTCTTTTATTTTATTTTAATTTCTCTAGGTATAATAATATATCTAAGAAAGTTTACTTCTTTAATATAAAAATAGCTCTTTTCTAGTTTAACTAATAAGTTAGTATCTTATAGTGCTTTTAGAACTTTATAAATATATTCCTAATATTATTTTTCTATATTAAAGAAGATTAGGATATTATCTAAGTAATATATTATAAAAACGTTAAGGTATTATTAAAATATATTATTAATTATTTGCTAAAATATCGCAGGTATATTAATAAGTCTAAATAGCATAACTAAGTATTTAAAAAGTCTAAATTTAGTTTTAAAAGCAGTTTTTTATTTATTACTTTTTTTAATACGGATTAAGTTATAAGCTCCTTTAAGGTCTAAGGCGGTAAAAAATTATTTTCCTTATAGGCAGTCCTTAAGCTCTGTAATAAGCAGAAGTAGGGTCCTATCCTTAATTATAAAATTATTTAGTTTTTTATAATTTATTATAAGTTATAACTTGCTGTTTTTCTTAGGTATAAATATTACTAGAAATCTTATTAATAAGTTAAATATCCTAATATTACCTTTTTATAGTTTTATCTCTAAGTATTCTTTAAAAGTAAATAATTCTTTCTCGTTAAAGTTATAAATCTTCTGGAATAGTAGGTTATTTAATTTAAGCCAGATCTTATAGTCCTATTTAATATACTATAATACCTTAGTATTAAGTTCTTTATTAAATAGTTTCTTATAGATTCTAAATTATAGTAATATATTCTAAAGTCTATTTAATAGCTTTTATAGTATATTTGCCTATATTTTTAGCTATTTAAATTTAGCTATACCTACCTAGTTTAGTTCTTTTAGGGGCTTTTTATTATTATATTATTTTAGTGTTTTATCTAAACTATATAGCTAGTATTAAAGGAGTTTTAAAATTTATTATATTTATTATTTTCTGCCTTTTATATATTTTTATTATACTCCTTTTAGAGGTAGCAAGATATTTTATATTTCTTTGCGCTTATTTATGCCGTCCTTAACTTCGGTTAGGGTTTAAAATCTCTTTTTATTTATTATAATTAATCCTTTATTGCTATTAAAGTTACCGGGAAATATAATTTAGCCTATCCTTTAGTTAATATATAAGTTTTGCCGTTTTAACTATAGCATACCTAAGAGGATATTTACTTTCTTTCCTAGAGGGATAATATTAAAGTTAACTCCTTAGTTTTTTTCTTTAATAAAGACCTTAAGGTAATTAATCTCTTAGTTTATAATACTATTATTATATATAAAGAGTTATCCTTTTGCGTTTATAAGTAGGTATAAGATATACTTCTTTCTTTAGGGTATTCCTAGCTTAGTTATTACTTTAGGGCTTATAAAGTTCTTTTTAGCTCTATAATTAACTTATATATTTAGTTATGCACTTTTAATCTAGACTTTTAATATTAGGCGGTTAGGGTTAGTATTTTATATTGCCCCTAAAGCACTTAATAGTCTAATCTGCTATTAGCCTTACTTACTGCTTATTTATAGCTTTATTATAAATAGCATTTATTATTTTTTATTATAGCGGTATAAATTCTATTTTCCTTCTATTTATATTATATTTCTTTTATAATACTTAAATTATTAATATTTATATACTTAAATATATTAATAATATCTAGTATTTTTCGGGGATAGTTATATTTTCCTTATATTATCCCCTGGAATACTTATTTTAAGTTATTAATAATATTAATTATTTATTAGATATTATTTTATGTTTTCTTAGCTTTATAAATATATCGGTAATAAGGCATATTAAATTTAAGTTCTGCTATTTTAAAGTTATTATATTAAAAGTAGATTTTATATTCTTTAGTTTCCTTTGCGAGGTAGGATTTATTATTTAGTATGCCTAATATAGCTACTAGAAAATAATTATTATCTATTTTATCTTATAGATAATACTTATATTAGTAGTATTTATATAATAATTATAAAATTTCTGCGTATTATTTATTTATCGGGAATATTTAGATATTATTACTAATCTTAAACTTTGGTTTCTTATTATAGGGGTTTATTATATTATTAGCATAATAAGCTCTAATATTAAAATATTTAATATTCTTTATTTTTTTTATATTTCTAAGCCCCTTAAATATATCTATCTTCTTCTAAGATAAATATCCTATTTTTATATTTATTAAATAGTGGGTTATAGGCTTATTTTTACTTCTATTTAAGTTATTTATTTTCCTTTCGCAGATATTTAGCGGTTTATTATATTATTCCTCCTTTATATCTTATACTTTAGGCATATTATTAGTAGTAGTTTTAAAGGTAGCTTCTCGCTTTTTATTTCTTATTAATAAGTTCTTTCTTATATTAAATCGTGGTTTTTATAGGAATGTTATTAATATCTATATTAGGGTTTAATAATAGTTCTCCTGGTTTTATAATTCCTAATGTTTTGGGTTATTTAAATCCTTTAGGTATTTTAAATGCAATTATTTTTTATTTTATTACCTTCTTTTAGGCCTAATACTTTTAGTTATATTAGCGTTATTATTTCTTAAACTAGTGCTTATTTTTATATTTATAGTACTATTCTCTTATTCTTTAATTTTATTATTTTAGGGGTATTTTATTAAGGTTTAGTTCTTTATTAGTTATATGAATCTATTTTTTATATTTCTCTTATATTTTATCTAGTATTTAAAATCTCTCTTATACTTTTCGCGGGAGTAATTTTACGCAGGTATCTATTTAATTAAGGTTAATAAAGTTATATCCCGACCTTATTATTCTAAGTATTTATATTAATCTAAGGGTTTATTTACCTTAATTTAGGTTTCTAGGCTTTAATAGTTCTAAATAGTTTCATTTTATATATCTAAACTAGTTATAATTATAATATTTATATCTAGATATATTACGCTTTAGTTATCCCTGCTAGATTAATCTGAGATCTATTTATCTTAGGTATATTCCGTATAATATATTACTATTTTATTATTATTCTTAATTTCAAGAGTTACCCTATCGGTTATATTATTCCTTATTTTAGTTTAGGTAATATAAATTAAAGTTAGCTCCCCTTTCTTTTTATTTATAGGCGGCTTTTTCTCTTTTACGTTTATATTATTATTTATTAATCTTAATAGCTATAACAATATATTTATTAATATTATCAAATCGGTTAGTCTTATAGAGTTTATCTTTAACTTTATCTTTAAGTCCTTTATAATAAAGTTCTATAAGTGCGTTATTATCCTAGCTGGTTTTTAAGGCTAATTACTTAAAAATAGCAAAATAAACTGCATATAATTTGGTTTATATTAAGTTATAGATTTTAGTAGCTGCCTATCTTTCTTTATTAATTATACTAAAATTCTATTTAAGCGAGATTTTAAAATTATCTTAATTTATAAAAATATTCTAAGTTTTCTAATTTTAAATATTCTTATTTTTATTCTCTAGGAAGTCTCGCTAAATAAGTTTAAATTAATCCTTTAAAATGCCTTATAATAGCAGGGCTATAAATAATATTTTAGATATTATATTTGCTATTTTATTTAGAAATAAGCAGAAGTAGCCCTTTATTTAGGTAAGAAATAAGATTATATTACTAGCTTACCTAATAAAAAATTTCGATTTAAGAGGTTTAATAATTTTTCTAGGGTCTTATTTAATATTAGCCTAGGGGTTATTACTTATAGGGGTATTTAAGTAGTTATTAGCAGCGGTTTATAATTTGCGAACTATATTACGAAGTTATAAAAGTTTAGCTATTATCTCTGCGTTACTAAGAGGTAATTTACTATAAGGTAATACCAGAGTGTTACTTTTAATAGAGCTTATAGTAATAAGTTAGTTACTAGCTATTTTAATAATAGGAGGTATTACTTAGATTATATAATATAATACTAAATAAGAGCTATTAATATATAATAGGTAGAGTTTCCTAAGGGATAAATTAGTCTATATTAGGTTTATATTAATAGGATTATAAGGCATAATTTAAGTATAGCAGAGATTATTATATCTCTTAATAATTAATAATACAAATAAGGCTTATTAAGGTAAAAAAATTTTATTAATAGCTAGTAAGCTAAGTCTATAAAAGTGCTAAATAAATATAGTTTATATACTAAGGTATAGCTTATAATAGTAAGTCAGGCTTATATATAAGTTATAAGTCGGATTATAAGTCGGATTATAAGCTAGTTATCTCGGGCTTATAAAGAATAGTATATAGTAGTGTATAAGCCGCCTAAGAATTAAATAAAAAAAGTGGGGTATATATAATATAGCCGCGGAGATTATAATACTAGGCGTTTTTAAACTTATATAATAATAGCTCTAAAAAAAAGAAATTTACTTTAAAAGAAAATAATATAAAGCGAATTAAAAAAATATAAATTAGTAAAAAAGAAAAACCTAATAATTATAAAGTATTTAAAATAAAACGCTTTAATTTAAATATCTTAATATATCCCCAGAAAAGAGCAGGATTTAATAGACTTAATATTTTAAATAATAAAAGAAATAATTACGCTAGGGATTAAACCTAGAATCTTCTGATTTGTAGTTAGATGCCTTGCTATTAGGCTACGCAACTAGATTATTAGATAGTTTAGAGTCTGTATTTACTATCCTATAGAGGTATTATCACAACTCTTATTTTATACCGCTATAAAAAAAAAAAAAAGTAGCTAAATAATATCCGTATTAGTTTCTTCCTAGTTTAAATATATTCCAGGCTTGCTTTAGTAGCACTTATATAGAGATATTTATATCTTATATATATAGGTCTTATTTGCAAAAGTTAAGATCTATAGTAGTATTAAACCCTACTAGTTAAGTAGTAGAAAAACTACTAAAAAATCTCTTATCGAGATAATTTAGGGTAAATCTATTAATACAGGAGTGTATTCCGCAGTTATATATATACTCATAGTAGTCTAAGTTATTACTTAATATCACAGGGCCTATAATAATATAACTATAGTTTAGGAGTTAATAAGCTGTAAGGGCAAATCAAGGTCAAATTGTGAGTTAACAATGCAATTCCACATTATTAATATTTTTCTAGAAGTATCACACTGTGGGGCGGGGAGGGTATTCGAGATTTGTAATCCTTCAATTTAGACCTACAAGAGGTTAAGCAGAGCCCCCCAATTACTTATCACGTTAGGATCAAAGCTATTCCTCCCTTTACCTTCTTAGACCGGTGACGTGCACTAAATGTACTATAGCAAATATCGTCTCAGTTGTATTCTCGCTAGTACCGTAGGCTCCCTTAGTAATACCCGGCTTCTACCTCTAACGCCCAGTTGTATTTTAAAACGTTAATTCACAAGGATCTTTGTGAACTTAGATACCTATACCTAGGCGGAGCATAAAGTTACTATTAATAGTCGCACTGAGACGACTTAGCCAGCACTCAACCCTGGCTGAAAGTTAGTCCACTTTAAACACTACCATAGAAACTCACGAGATTTGCAACGCTATGTGGATTCTTCTTAGTCATGCCTATTTGCTAAGAGCCTGGATTTAGCGCAGACGTCAGATCCTTATTTTTACCTGGACTAATCATCATTAATAGACTGGAGGAAAAGGACTAATAGGGCGTTACAAATCTCACGAGCTACGGGTAATACCCAAAGTGAGACACGCCTGGCAAACACAGTAGGTACACCTATTCAGAGACAAGCAAATATGCTAGCATTAAATCAGCGATCGCTAAGCCGGTTTAGCTTTAGTTAGCGAGAATTAAAAGTTTATATCTCTATAGAGGCAGCTGTTAGCATAACCATTAAAAAGAATGTGTTGTCAGGTTTAACTTCTCCACCCCTAGGAGCCAACACCCTAGTTCCAACATTGCAAAAAACATAAAACACAAGCAAAAGAAGTGGACGATGAACCAGATGTCCATAATTGCGTAATCATAGAATCCAAGTTTGGTAGCTTCTAAATGTGGTCTTAAAGCGAAAGCTACTGCTCAGGGGCCCGGCATATTGACCTAACGTACCCAACTCAGATATGACGTAGACGAGTTTTTCCCTGTAGAGGCATATTTTCTACATATAATCCTAACAACAGCATTTTAACATGTAATTCAAATTGTTTGTGTAAGAGTTATAGCCTTTTCCTAACTTTATTAAAAGAATTCTCCATTCCATCTCGTCTGGGGAGCTCTGGTGATATGGTATTGAATTACCCTAAAGCTTAAAGTAATAAACTGCAGTTTAATTAGATCCCCGGGATGATGAAACGCCGGTGCGTTGTGATTGTGGCTAACCGTCATCGAAACAGGGATCTGTCACTCAGGTGCAGGGGTAAGACTGAGCTAGACCGATGCATCTGCCACAAGGTGTGGCGATGCAGTCATAGAGCAAAGAGGGCCACTATTACGAATTTGGACCTCTGAGGAGTTTTGATGGATCGAGATTCCAATCAGGCCGTTGAGCATGCTGTCTTCTTCATTCCGCTGACGCAAAGAGAGAAAAATACTGGATGAACGTGGGATTTGCTATCTAATACCCCTACAACCTGGAAATATCAAAGAAAAATATATGACCCACCTGTTCTCGCAATACAGGGCATAACCTACCCAATGCCTCAGCGTTTGCCAACGTGAATTTGCAGGTACAAGTGAGCTCAAGTTCAAGCTTTATCTTGATTCTTATCGATATCAAACCTCAACTAGGAAGGATTACCGAGCCGTGTACATACCTATCGGAGGGATTCCCTACGCACTAGGGTTCGTAGCTAATACATCATCGTGACGCTATCATGTGGCACCACACTAATAAAAGCAGGGAGTGACAGTACTGTGCCAGGGTGAATAAAGGGTGACACAATCTCAACACTGTCCAGGATTGAGAAATGATTGAGGCTGAATGTTCCAAGCCAGTGAAAACCCTGAATTGCTTTTTTTCATGCGTCGTCATAGATTTAATGAGACACGAAGTGACGAACAATGACCGCATCAGCCACATAGTCTGCTAGGGCCTGAGGCAACTCACTGAGTTAATACCACCGCGCTCCCCTCTCTCAAGGCATTTTAGAACCTCAAATCATCAATCAACACTCCAATTTCAAACTACTTTTTGCATCCTTCCTATTAAAAGCCTCCAAACCTTTTACTCAATATGGCATCCGAACTTCCAGAAGGCGCTTTAGGCAAGCTGGCGACCTCCGTGAAGAATATTGTGACTGGCCAGTCTGACAGTGTGGCTGAAAACGACGTCGAAGTGCAAGGCGTCAAGAAAGTAGACAAGACCGTGGACAAGACTGTGGAGGCCCATGACAATGATACGACAGTACACAAGGAGAAGACAGCACCCGTTTTACACGAAGACGTCAAGTCTCATGAACACGAAAAGGTTGACACAGTAGTCGACCACGAAGTACACCAAGACCACTACCATACCACCATTCAGCCTGTCAAAGACAAGAATGTTCTCCCGACCAAGCATGTCTATAAAGAGAACGAAACAGAAGAGGAGATTGATCACCGGGACAACACAGCTAAAAAGCAGGCCAAGGAAGAAGCCGCTAAGATTCACAACGAGAAGCATGTCGAGGACACCACTCATTCGAGAGAGTATGCGCCAACAAATGAGCATGAACACATTCACCAGTAAGTACTATGTTCCTGGATTCAGTAACGTATCAATCTCGCTCACACATTTTCAATAGTCACATCCACGAAACCATCCAGCCCGTCATTGAGAGGGAAACAGTCCAGCAGAAGGTCATCCACACTACGAACCACATCCATGAGAAGGAGCAATTGAACGACGAGCACCACGAGGCGACAGTTGCCCCTGCCATTACAATGGCCGATTTCGAAAAGGGTGCTGGAGCCAAGACCGGAGCTAGTAAGAAGACAACACAGGACATCGAGATTCCTGTGTCGAAAACCGCAGTGCATTCAAAGAAAAGGGAAGCACTAACAGGAGATGACGACGTGGAGGAGGCCGCTAAAGTTGGTAAGTCAACAAGCGCATAAAGACTAAAAATCTTCTCAAATAACAATTTTACTCAGACTCTCTATAGTGAAACGGAAAAGGGGTTCATCTTGTACCGTGGTTGATTGCAGTTGTACTTGTCACCGATGATGCAATCTTGCTCGCGGCGATTAACTCATGCCTACATCTACATTTGAGCGAACAGCTATTCCTGGCGTCGGGGACAGTGCTTAAGCAGCTATATGAACATGCTTTGCACCCGTGAAGTAAATGAGGGTTAGACTCAACAAAATAGAGAATACTTTTTCTCTCTCTCGTCTCAGAAACGCTATATTCCAATGACTAGAAAATTCCGTTCCACTGGAGTAGCAACGCCCTTTGTTTGGGATAATTGGAGGTTGGCACAACACCTTCAAGTTGCAATGACGAAGATGGAGACGACAAGCACATGTGCCTATCTAGAAACAAAGAGATATTTCTCCTCTTTTAGGTGAACCTAGCGTGTTCACCACAGGTGTTGAGTGTGACAGATACCGTTCACTTCTCGAAGTCATTATAATCAACTACTCTTTATTTCTCCAAAAGGAAGAAAGATATACCTTGTTTCGTTAGCATCCATACAGCTTATCTAACAGTGGAATGTGGTCGGACATTTTAAAATGATATCGAGTTTGGTGACTTCAGGAACGTGTCAAGTAAGAATTGAGGCATAGTCTCATTTCACCTGATACCCTACTGCAATTAACTGCGGTTGTCATTTAAAAGCAAAGAAGGGATGGTTGGCACCGACATAGTAAAGGCCATCACTGTTGTCGTATGCAGCGTAATGAGGCGCCTTGGATGTACCGCCGAGTTTCGTGGCACATTGCTTATTGTTCCACAACGCGGGGTAAGTCTAATCCCATGTTGCACGACGAATCATCAACGCTGATCGCCTGGCAGCACGTTTGTCAGCACTCACCCACTCCCCGCACAGGAGTGTTATCTTTTCCCTCATCAACTCCCTCAATCAATCACAACAACAACGATGGAAACCTCAAACTACCCTCATGTTATCGTTGTCGGCGGTGGCATTGTTGGGGCCTCCATCGCCTGGCACCTGGCTCATGAAACAAATGTGACCATCGTTGCCGAAGATATTGGGGGCCCAGCCTCTGCATCCTCTTTTGCGTGGCTCAACGCTAGCTCAGTCAAAGACAAGTTCTACTACGAATTTCGCTGTCGTTCCCTGGACAGGTGGAAGGAGATCATGCTTGAGATCCCCGGTATTCCAATTTCTTGGACTGGCTCGCTGAACTGGCACAAGTCAGCCGAAGATCTTGCAAGGAATGAGAAGAATCTCAGTGCCTGGGGCTACGACGTCGTTCAGATACAGAAGTCTCAAATCCTTGAGCGAGAGCCCTGCATCGATACATCCCTCCTACCAGAATGGGGTCTCTGCTACCCCCAAGAGGGTGCAATGGAAGCACACATTGTGGCTCGGCAACTGATAGCAGAGGCAGAAAAGAAAGGCGCCAAGTTGGTTAAAGCTACAGCAAAGGGCTTTTGCAAGACCCATGGCCGTGTCAGTGGAGTTGTATTAGCCCCTGGGGAGGAGTTGAAAGGTGATCATGTTGTTGTAGCGGCCGGTTTGGGCAGCGTG